TGATATAATATCCGAGGCTTTTTTATTAAACTTTGGGCTTAAACTAAACTTTTTCCTCCGAGTTGCTAGAAGTCAGGCAGAAACTGTAGATGTTCATACGCCCCTTTTCCTTTCCACACCATCAGAACTTTTAAAGTCATCCTTTCGGTTGCCACTTTCTTTCAAAAAATAAGTAATTTGCCTCTTCATTAATCTCTAGGTCTTGGAAAATCCTTCCTCAAAGAAAGCCGGGGAAAGAGGAGCATTCCACGACAGACTTGGGCTTCCCCACGTGAACATCATAACTGTTCTGATTCCTTTTCTTTCAGGCATTCTTTCGTAGGTTTGGATAACTCCTTCTTCTTCCCCTATTCTCCCTGCAAGCGGCCATAAGCCAGCTGAACACTTACCTGCCATCTGGTGAGAGCATTGGGAAAATTGATTCTCCCTTGCCTCAAACACATCTAAGCCACTTCAGCCTCAGTCAATTCTATTGCAGTAACCTAAAGCAGGGCATGAGCATGGATGAAAAAGGACGCATGGATGAAAAAGGACGTATGGATGCATACGCCTCTTTCTCAGAGAAATTCTCCATTACTTGCCATATACTGCCAAAATATATTATAGGGAGAGGTAGGGAGCATCATGCCAGTGACAGGAATTAATGCCTTTTCTCCGAGCAGGCATTTACAACGCTTGATGAAAGAGTAACTATTTCGCAAATATTGATCACTTTCAGAGAGCCATTTTCATCGTCAGCATCACCGCTTTTCAGGTATGAAGCTATATTCATAACTTCTTTGATCTCGATATGAGACCATAATTAAAAATAAAACTACCTTAACTTTTCCTTTCATAAGTCTTTGAAGGACCCTACTTCCGGAAAAATAATTCACTTCCCCAAAGGGGAAAAATTATAATCTGCACTAGACATCAGAAAAATATAACAAATAAAGTGAGTGTGACTCCTATTACAAATGCTTTTTATTAAAAAGAAAGAGAAAAATCGAAGTTGGTCGTTAAACAATATTTTCCCCGATTGATTGAATTGATACAGAGTGAGCCATATGTTTTCGTTGCTTGCCCTACCCCAAGGTCACAGCCTTCCTGAGCTGTCCTACGTTTCATACAGCGGTCTTCTCAATTACCATTTGCAGTCCGAAGGATAATGGTGATCGAGGAAGTAAGGGGGCATATTGAGGGGGGGGGGGGGGGAAGGGATGCTAGGGGGGAATTGGGGGAAGCACTGGGGGGGGGGGGGGGGGGGGGGGGGGGGGAATGGATGCTAGGCGGGAATTGAGGGAAGCACTGCGTGAACCGCTCTTCTTGGAGAGGGGATTCCTTTTCTTCCTATTGTTTGTCTGGAAATAGATCGGCGTTTCTGATGAAGGCTGAAGATCCGATAGAGGGGCTGAGCCTCCAAATACAAAAATCGCTGAAGCCCCATCGCTCCCAACGAGGCTTCTGCGACTCATTGACTGTAGTCACGGTCATCGAAAGGGTTCGAGTCGGTGACTGGGATCGCCGATTCCATCCCACTTCGAGGGCATGAAGGAATCGCTCCAGAATGTTGGCATCCTTCGGTTTTCCTCCTTTTCTTTATTCGTCACTCGGCACCCGGTCGAGTGTGAATTTTCGTTTCGTCACCAACTAAAATTTTTAGTATTGCCTTCATCGTAAACGAATGTGACCCCTTCGTCGACGAAAATTTTTGTAAACAAAATTAACACCCTTCCGTCTTTCCCAGTCTTTCAAGAGGATAAATCTCTAGTTTAGACTAATTTTTTTTTAATATACTCGATGCGTTGCGACGCTACAGAAAAAAAAAAAACGCGAAAACGATGACAAACGAGCAACGTCATCGAAACATTAACCTTTCTTGAGGCTTTGAGGCTCCTTTGTCAAGTGCACGAACATCCTGTGGGGGACATTCATGGATTTCCTTGGAATTTTTGCATGGAGGCTTGTATTATAGATTTTTTTAAAATCAAGCAAAATACTTTTTCATTCAGTTTCCAAGATATAGGATTACAATATGTACACCTTACCGTGCATTTGCACAGATCTCTCAGGATAAATTCCTCGATATCTCAAGATCAAAGCTAAAGGAATGATAAACACCTCATTTCCATGTGCTGCATGTTTTTCCACTTTAGCTCTCGAATGAGATCGCTAAACAGTGTCTATGATATTTGGCCTCGAATAGCGTAAAAACACTATTTACAAATTTTTAAGCTGGCCTGTTTAGAGGTTTGAAGAGTAGGCCAATCTGCGCCAGTGGGTCTCGATGTCACCGGTACCTCCCGACAATGAACCTGACTCACACGAGAGACAATCACGTTGCCAAGACTCCCCAGTCACGTGAAAACGGGACGCGAAGGAGAGAGGCGCGGGTAGTCTGTCCATGCCGTCAACCACGTCCGTTAACACTTGCCTTGCCTCTACCATGCGTTCCCCTACCAGGCCCTACCAAGCATCGTCCCCATATACGTCCATTATCGATATTTTAAAGGAAAATTGTAGAAAACGTGATGAAGGTAACAGTTTTCTCGAGTTCTATAACCCGACCCTAGAATTTAAAGGATTCGTATTTCCTGGTTCAAATAAAAGCAATTTACATCGTGCCAAACCTTGTATTCAAGTCATGCCTCGAAAGTCACCGACCCATATCAGATACGAAGGCAAGGAACACTTACGTTCTGAGATAAATGTAGAGTTCTGCAAGGCCACGTCGATATATCCATTTAACTGCGACGCGAACGAAGCAAGCGACTCGGAACCGGGACAGATTCTGCTACATGCATCATCTAGTTACTTCTAGTATCATCTGTATCTCTTCGTCTACTTCTACGCGAATGCGTACTTATAGACATCCACGAATTGGGGATTATAAAATAATTACAAAAATACTAACGAGACTGCTAAAATAATAGTAAACTGGAAAATGAGACTTTCAAGATCGGGAAGCCACCATATGAGTACAGTGATTGATGGAGATGATGTAGAAGAGGGTCGACTAGTCGGCGGTTGCCCTGCACGGCAGATAAGGAACGTTGCCAGATCTGGTTGTCGAAGGACCTGCGTTTCCTTTCATTATAAAAATGGCCTTCATCGATTCCTCGAGGAACCGATTGAATGTTAAGCATCAGACTAGATGGCAATGGTGCAGCGTGCATCACCACCTTTCCTCCCTCTACGAGAGAAATTACAAGTATTTCCAGTCTGTTCGGTATCTTTCTAAAGCTTATCATTGGAAAGCTTATCTCAAAAGAAACAAGCTTTGTTTGTTTCAGATTTTGAATTGACAACAGCTTTCTACGAAGTGCGAGGCATCATTGGACAAATTTCATATAGTGTGAGCAGTCGAAAAGCTTGGCCGATCTGTGAGATGGTTGCGAGAGTGGTGGATTCAACCTCGATGTCATTTCACGTAAACTCCGTGCTTCCCAAAACTTCCAGATATTCACTTCTTGCTCCGGTTCGTAGTTATTCTCTCCGCAAAAAGCCACCCACTCGATCCCGTGCATCACATTTTCTCCTTCGTATTTTCCCTTCAAAATCAGGAACGTATAGGATGAGTTCCATTTGAGATGAGTTTTGGAATGATACCAACCGATGATTGGTCACACTCGGCTACTCAGCTTCTCTTCCCTGGCTTTTTCCTTTTCCCATTCACACAATCATGATTTGGCGATTCCATAAAAATCCGGCATTTACCGGATGTGATGGTATGAGTTCCCCCCTCTCCCCCCTTAAGAATTACGTGTACGGTTTCTAGCAACTGGGTTCACGAAATTGAAAGAAGGATCTGCTCACTACTTCAAGGCTATTCCAGAGGAGAAAAGTTGATGACAAATTGAAAGATGAAATTGAATCAAACTCTGTCTCGGGGAAAAAAAAAGCACGAGCAGTAGGTTTGAAATCTTGCCACCTTATGAGCAATTGTCAAAAGCAGTTTTCGAGTTGTCGCCGTTTGCAGGACTTAGATCCAATCTTATTCCAAGGCTAAAAAAAAAAAACGCCAACACGCTCAGCAACTCAAATTGGACCGACCGCGAACCGGTAGGTACAAAAACCTTGGGATGCGATGTAACCTTTGTCATTGAACATATTCCAGCAGTTTCTGATTTCTCTTTATTGCAATCGATGACTGCAACACGGAGGGAAAGAAGAGCAAGAAAGATCCAAAGCACATTCTGCCCTTAATGAAGTCAAAAAAGTAGGAATCTGATCTTTGGTCGATGCTTCTTCTTCTTCGCCGGACTAGATACCGTAACAACAGTGAGCCATTAGCTCGTAGACATAGATACATCCCAGTAGATGGTGAAGAATACCCAAGACACAAAAAAGTAAATAACATACAAATGGCATCTCTCAAAAACTGAGATCATCCGGTGGGTATCTTCGAATCGTCCGACCGAATCGTCGCGTAAATAAATCAAAGGGCTTTCTCGTCGTCGTGTTCGGAGCCAGGGAAATTAAAGGGGAAAAGGAAGAAATGTCAACATCATACCAAAAAAGAAAAATCCTTCTTGAGTCGAGTTCAGGGAAAAGAAACGCGTGAAAAAAAAAAACAAAGGATCACCGGAGAGAGCTTTGGCAACCGTATTGCAATCCTGCCCAGCGTCTGTTATAAAGAAAGAGGTGGAAGAGTGAGTCGACCAAGAACGAGATATGAGCTCAGACTTTCTTCATCCTCGGTCGAATCGCATGGAAGCTTGGGAGACGGCCCTGGCCCTGCTCGACACTCGGGGCGGACGTCTCGCCTGGCAACGTATCACAATCGACAAGTGAGAGAAGTGAAGCGATGGTCCTCACCCCGAAGCAGTCCTCTACGCACTCCGGGTGAACGTCTCGCCTTACGGCGTATCACAATCGACAAGTGAATCGAGTCCGGATCCTCGTCCCGAGGCGGTCCAGTTCACAATTGGAATAGCTTGACTCGAGAACGGGACTCGATCGACGTATCACAAACTGTAAGGGGAGAAGGGGGGGGAGAGGGGCGGAGGTCCGAGAGGGGGGGGGGGGGGCGGAAGCCTCCTCATACGAGGTGGCCTGGGCCCTCGGACTGAGGTGGTGTGGGTGGTGGGGTGGGCTGGAACGTAGTGAGGATGGGTGCCCTCAGCCCACGGGGAAGCGTAGATGCAGAAGCATTCATCATCATGAGTCCCCCTCCGCCGTTGGCCACCAACAAATCCGGTTTTCCACCTCCGCTTCGAACGGCTCCATTCGATAAGGTGTTGCTCCCCGACGGATACGGGGACCCCAGCCGACTCAACAGCCGCTCCCCTTGAGCTGAAAACCGTCATTTTCACTCATTTCGTTCGTTTACTCGTACGCGAGAGCGGATCGAAGCAAAGAACCGTGAATCTAACCGAGTTTTTGGTTGTAGGCACTACGACGGAGTTCCTCGGCGTAGACTTCTCGATCGCTTTCCACATCCTGGGAAACCGCGATGCGACGACTGTCCGTGTCCGATGGGGGCGGGGGCGGATATGTCGCGTACTGCGGTGGGGGCTCGATATGGTCGATCAGGTAGGTGCAGTGTGCTCGCTTCGCCGTCTCTTCCTGCAACGACCCACGATCCGTCATCGACTCGTCGCGGATCCGACGATGGATTCGAATAAGAGATGCGATGGACTCACCGGATACGGATCCCCGGAGTCGTCGTGGTGAGAGTAACGTTCGCTCTTCTCCGAGATGGAGCTGAGCGTCTCCCCGGTTACGGTGTCGTTGTACGTGCTCGGCGGATACATCTCCATTGTTGCACTTTTGCTGCTCGTCCCATCGCTTGCTGCTGACAGAAAGGGTCACGGGGTACATCATCCGACCGCTGTGGCTTTTCTAACATCTGAGCATTAACATGCAATAATGCATTTTCGAGTCCAAGGAAGGCAGGTATGCACAGTCTACATTGAAAGACTGTGAATGTCTTTCAATGTAGACTCGTTAAAAAGAATAAAATAAAATAAAATATGTATATAAATATCTTCAGTGCTCAGCAATTGATTCTAATACAGAACTTGGTAGATAAACATCTCAGCACTTGAAGAGAGTAATACATTACACATTTCATTGCAAAGAATCGAAGCGTGCATCGATTGAATGACACACGATTATGCGATTATGTAGGGATCAAATGTATGCTGGTCAGAACTATAACCTACAAATGCATGAAGAGCATCTGTAGGATGGAGCATGAAACGAAGCCCTCAGTCACATATTACGGGAATGCTCTTCACTTTTTTCACCCTAGACCAGGGGTGCCCAACCTACGGCCCGTGGTTACAGTTCATCCGGCCCGCGGCGCTTCCCGAAATCCAGTTTTTTATTGCCCACTTTCTCTGCATCTTCCCTCACCCCCTCGGCAATACTACTGCAGGAAATGTGGAATTGTAGATCTTCTCTGAATAAAGGTCACCTTTTCTGTGACTTAGTCTGAAAGCAGTGTAATATTAATATTTAAAAAATAGGTATTGCGGCCCGCGGGAGGTCCCTTAATGGGCAATGCGGCCCAGTTGAGCAAAAAGGTTGGCCACCCCTGCCCTAGGCAGATGTACGGGGCAAAATCAAGATTTCTTCGGTCCCCTTTGAATCATCGTTAACGAGTTTTCCAATATGCAATGACTGACGACTATTCCTCGTGACCCCTGTCCCGGTTCACACGATAGTCCGCCATCGTTGAGAAAAAGATGCCAGGGTCGTAAGTTCTTTTCGGCGACCCCGGGAGGAAGAGAAAGGAGAGAGGGACCACTCGTGACTCACTTGTACTTCCGGTGACGGAGTCCAGGGGTTTCTTCCCCTGCTTCCGTCTAACGAAGCACGCAACCAAGACGATATTGATCAAGAGTAACACGGTCCCGACCACGGACACCGCAATTATGACAATCTGGGGCAGGTCGTTCCTGTTGCCCAACACCTCCGGGATCACCCCTTCCATACCCGGTTCCACGGGAGGCTCCACTGCGAAGGGAAGGAGGGAAGGAAAGAAGAAAGGAGTCAGGACTCACTCTGCTTGTTACGGCGTCGGGCGTGACGTCGTCGACGCACGAGCCACGCGACAAGAAGAACGTTAAGGAAGAGCAAGGCGACGCCCACGACAGTGATGGCAACGATGAGAAATCGAGGCACGGATGGGAAGCCGGAGGGTGGCGGCGAACCCACGTTAGTGGCAGAGGGCGAGGACGTCGGAGGAGCCACGTCTTCATGCACATAAGCAGAGAAACACGGGCAGAGTGAGAGTGACAGGACGGACAGAAACAACAAGCCACCAGAGCAAGCTTTTGTCATAGGTCTGATGAGACAGAGTCGAATCGAAAGATCGAGCAAAGCGACGAAGTGAAATTTCAGTTCAGAACGCCCCAGGGGTGATAAAAGAGTTCTTCGATACTTTATTTATTTATTCCACTAAAATAAATAATTTTAATTATTTATTTATTTAATTTAACTTCATTTTTTAAACCCACAGGAATGGCAAGATGGAAACAGGAGAATAAGAAAATAAAACAGTACTACACACATCGTTACAGTGACCATTGCTTTTCTCAAGAATCAGTGACCCCGACAAGACTCATTCCAAAGAATTCCTCAGTGGATCCCAGAACACCAGAACACGAGAATCGAAAGAAAGACAGGCGATGGAAAGAAAGCATTCCGGTGAGTGTGATAAAGCCATGAGTGAGAGAGGATTATGAAGACTCACTGTCAGTGGTAACAAGCCTGTGTAGGGTGTACCCGCTTTCCCCTTTGCTGTTGAATGCCATGACGGAGACGGCATAAGTTGTGCCGAGTGATAAACCGTCTATGCGAATGGACGTCGCCCCGACGGGATCCACATCCAGATATCGGAACCCGCCGACGGGTTGTCCATCCTCCAAGATGCGATATCTGACCCGGAAGAACTGGACCAGACCTCCGTCGAAACCCGGCTTCCAGCGGATCACCATGCTCTGGTGGGTGACGTTCGTCACCCACACGTGCAAAGGCGGATCGGGGTGAGACGTGAAATTCAGCGTAACTTCCAGCGTTCCGAATCCCAACTCATTCTGCGCCGTGCATCGGTACGACCCGTAGTCGCGGCTCGTGACGTTCGAGATCTTCAAGGTGCTCTGCCATCGCACGAGGGACACCTGTCAGATATATGCATTCCACATGTGTCAGCAGAGAAAAACTCCATCCAATAAGAAAGTTTCCGTTTTGTAATTTCAAGTAGCCGAACCTGATCTGACTTGAACTTGAACTGGAGTCCAAGGAAATAACGCGTGGGCCAGCATCACGGATAAAATACTGATTAATATAGCTACTGAATACGTTTTCTTGAGTTAAAAAAATTGTTTTCATGAAAATTGGGTACGGCCATGTGGACCCCTAATTTTCTTATTGTTGGTGCGAATTTGATTAGCATATAAACTGAAAACCTGGAGGCAAAGTTTCGAAATTTACCTGATTGATAAATACTCCTACTTAGTGAGTACATTTTACGCATAATACAATACAAATGTAAATAAAATTCGTCGCAACGGGTCAGTGAGATCAATCTTATCTGCCACAAGTGGTTTATACACAGTATAGTTAGATTTTTTTTACAATTATTCAAAACGACCTGGAAACTCATGAATGCAGCTGCACGGAAGGAAAGGCTTGGCACAAAACTTAGACAGTCAAGCACATTTATTATATATTCCGAGAACAAGTCGAATCAGTCTAACTTGAGAATAATGTAATGCTGTAACCCGTCTTTCCCTTCGAAAAATTTCTTTTTTTCAACCAAAGCTCCTGGATCGACCCGACCAGAATCACAGCTGTCCATAATAATACATTACTACTGGGTTCAGTTGAGTCGTTTCACTTTTGATCCAACAGTAATATCGATAAGTGGGTCGGACTCACCTCAGACTTTATCCTATTTATTGGAGTTGTGATGGGGGAGAGAGAAGAGTTGGACGGAGTTCTCGTACCAACCCCTTAACTCTTTCGCGCATTAATTTTTAAAGCAAAACAAAAATATGCCTTTTTTGGTTTAACGTTTAGGAAGGTACTCTGCCGTAGTGATCGAATATTCCACCACTAGAAAGCAACCCGAACAGATCATGTGCCCTTGAGTTGACTGCATACAGATTGACTGCGTTTCGAGGATTGTGTACTATGGCTGAAAACCCATCATCATCCGCAACAATTTTGCCGTCCACTACAGTGGACACCATGCACGAAAGGGTCAATGACATGGCCTCAACTTCTTTCGCCCATATGGCAAGATTATTGGGGGTGGGGGAGGCACCAAACCACTTCTGTTCTTGAATATAGAGGTGAGCATGAGAGGCTCCTTATCACATATCCTCAAGATCTAAGCCTTAAGTAATCAAAGGTTTTACTCCTCTGAGTTCTTACGGTTACGTGATCACATGGGGGAGCCTAAAGAGATGGATTCAAGGATAAAAAGAAACGTACATTGGGCACGCCACTCGTTGATTAGTGCTAGGCCTCCAGTTAGGAATGCGAGAGGCCTTGGCCCCTTTACGTAGCACTTCGAGATAGACAGGATATCAATCCGACGATGGGCTTAAATGTCACGCAGATGAGAGGAGGCAAGAGGAAACTTAAACGTTAAGAGATGACGGGGTGCTTATATGGGAAAAAGCGTATTCCTCCCGGTTCGGGGAAACCTTTACTTCGAGGCGAGAGAGAGGAATTATTACCTCGAAAAAGGGAGGGAGATTGGATACGTGACTGACATGATGACTGGTGCAGCTGACAGCTTTTAGCAAAAGCGCGAAAAGGGGGAAGAAAAAGAAGAGGAGGAGGAAGAGGGGGAGGGGAGAGGGGATGAAAAGCGAGAAAGAAGAAAATCTCATCCTCATCACAAAGACAGAGGAGAAGATCTGAGGGATTGATAGCTCGATTCGTGATGGCAATGTGCATTGCTGTCAATTGTCTTCATTCTTCTAAAATGCTTCATGCGGAAAACTTTGACAAAATAACGACAAATCGATTAACGATTCTTTCTTTTGCTGTGTTTTGCTTGAACCATTATAACGGAGGGAGAGACCTTGTGTTTAGAGATGGAGTATCGGTTGGTGGAGGACGACGGTGGTGACGGTTGGTGGATAGTGGCGCCATCCCGTTGCCAGTAGAATTCGGGTTCCGGGGCCCCATCCGCCACGCAGTCTAACTCCGCAGTACCGCCTTCCTCTGCCGCTGCCTTCCCCTTCCCGTCGATCCCATCCATCTCCGGCTTGACTGGAAACCACAAACAATCAGCCATCACACGGGCACTCTGGGATTTTTTCCGAACCGAGAAAACCGTTGGAATCTTCGTATCTCACGAATTTATCCCCACTGAACTTTCCTATCCGGACGAATGCTCTCGAGGGTGACGGAAGAAGCTGCCGAGACTCCATAAGTTCCGAGAAGACTCCATCTTCACCGATGGAGTTTTCTCGGAACTCCCCGAAAACTTCCCTTCCCGAAACTTTCGAATTTTGGATCCTCATTAAAAGGAAGTATGACGAAGATGAAGAATAGCAGTACCATGGAAGGAAAACCCATAGTGGCGCCTTTGATGCCCGTGAATCTTCAGGTTATCACTCACCATCATCATACATCGGCGACAGAAAAATCCTCACGATGATGACGGGAACCATGAGGTGGGGAGGGAGGGGGGGATGATTACTCGCTCGTCACGCATGCGCCACAGGGCGGACGGGCAGTCCACGTTCAGTATTTAAAATCGCTCTTTCCTTACGAGGTTCTTCCATTTCAAACACGTGAGGGTTCCGCGTGGAATGTTCCCAGACGAAAAGAGAGAGTGAGAGACTTACATTTGACGAGGAGATTGACGTCCTTGGAGGTCTCGCCGAGGTCATTGCTGGCCACGCATTGGAACGTCCCCGTATCATTCTGGATGACGCGCAAGAGATTGAGGTACCCCCTGTACCCGTGTCTCCCTTTATTTCCTTCTCCCTCCAGCTTGGCCGTGCCGTTGTTGGTGCGAGAGGAGAAGGGGAAATCGAGTCTGCGCCACTCGATCCGAGGCTCCGGGTTACCGTCCACGGTGCAATGGAGGCTCGGCGAATCCCCCGTCGACACCGGGGCCAACTCGCTCACCTCTCGTATCACCGGCGGATCTAAAACAGAATTCGATCATCGACCACTTCCCTCTCTTTCCACGTCTTCGTTTGGACGATTCCCCTAAATAAATTTGCTCCTTCTTGTACGATCTCTACTTTCTCCGTACCGTCGTCCACTTTACGCGTATACACCTCCATCACCAACGACTCACGGCATTCTTCCCATTTCTTTTTTATTTTTTTCATTGACTCACTCATTCAAGCTATTTCCCCTCTTTCTTGGGCCCTATTGCAATATCCTTGACTTTCCAGATTTTCTGGACTTTTGAAAATCCCGTAACACGAACGGCCGATGGTCTACAATAAATCCCGTTCTAGGGTTAATGTAAAACCGGAAGTGAAGGAGGATTTTTTTTACTGCTCCGAGTGAGGGAGAGGGGGAAGTTTCTTCTCGAAACGGAAACTCTCTACATTCGAGGAGGGAAGACGCAATTTTCCTCCCATTCCAGAAATTCCCTCCATACAGGATACACGCCAAATTGAATCTCCGTTCCTTCCACCACTTTCTCAACTCAGTCTTTTATTGTCGTAGATTTCCCTCCCCCCCCCCCCCAACACACACACACACATTTCCTAAGTACATTATGTTTCTTTCATTTGCTCTTATGTCTACTATCTGTGTCCTTATTTTCTTTTGCATGCTTGAAATTCTCTACAACTATCTTGAGTGGTAGTGACCTGCAGAGTACACCACACCACCCTGACCGAGCCAAGGACGGTTGGACGGCATTCTGATCTCGTTCATTTCCCAAACCAAACGATCGAAATGTAATCAGAGAGAGATAAAAAGGAAGCGTATGGTATGACTCACATTTAACGGAGACATGGATCTTCTTCTTGACCCTGCCCTCGTCGTTCTTGGCTGAGACCTGAAAGAACCCATCGTCGTCCTTGGTGGCTCGGGTGATGTTGAGGATCGGTCCATCCGCGAAGACTCTTCCCTTCCCCTTCAGCGCCTTCCCGTCTTTTCCTTCCCACGTGTAGGTGATGTCCTTCGGATTCCCTCTCGCCGACACGTTCAACACGGCCGCTTCCCCTTCCGTGATGTGGATCGTTTCCAGGGATTCTTCCGGGAACACCGGCTTGTCTGCAATTCCAACGAACCCCCAACCCGTTCAGTCTCTCCGAATCGAGGGCCGTATGTCTCAGGTTCCCCCAGATGTCCCTGACAGGTCTCTCGATCATGTTGGAACGAAAAAGCACTCTCGACTGGATCCTTTATCCAACCCTTCCTCTCCTCCCTCGACTGCGCCTCGAGAAAGAGCGAAACTTCAACTCGTTGCTTCTTCTCGACGTGCAGACGCGGTAGATTTCCGAGGGGAACGGAAGGATTGAAGGAAGGTTTCGGAAGTCGTCTCCCTCCCCCTTCGTGTCCATGCACGGTCCCAGGATAGCGAAAGGGAAAGGAAAAGCCACTGCAGATTGGCTTTCATCCAAATTCCCCTGGGTCCCCTTCCCTGTTCACCTAGACCTTATCCTTAAGCCTTTCACCCTATTTTTTTTTCTTCTCTCTCTCTCGCTTTCAATCCCTTCTTCCCTATCCCATTTACCATTTTCTTTTTAATGCAAGAGACATCGCATGTCCTTCTGCCACTTCCCACGTTTTGCAATACGCTTGCTACGATCCTCGAGTTTCTCGTCCAGGAATGTCCTCGAAGGGAAAAAAATAAAGGGAATTTGAAGGGATCCTCTTCCTCATGTCACCTCCAAGCCAGGGAAATGAATCAGAGGTCGAGGGAAAAGAAAGACGAGGAGAATGAAGCTTCTTATTCTTCCGTTCCCATCCCGGGTGTGTCTCATTATACAGAGGGGAAGGACGGAGAGATTTGATGGAGGCCTTTGACGTGATGCAAATGTCCCCCATCCACTGTTCCCATGGATTGATACCTCTCTCTCTCTATCTCGGCATCTTTCTATGAATAATATCAAGGTTCCCCGGAGACAGGTGCCGACCTAATCCCTGCCCCACGACTGCACAAAGACCTACGGCTGCCCCCCTGTCATTCTGTCTCCTCCCCCCCCCCCCCACCTTCTCTGACGATGTCTACGTGGTGCATGAGGGATATGAAAGAAGGAAGGAAGGAGGATCAATGGGAGACACGGGAAAGGGGGACGCGGAGGAAAGAAAAAGATTCCACGGAGAGAGAAAGATTGAAACTATGGGAACCTTTCCCCCTCCCTTTGCGAAACAAGAGAATCCCATTATGCACGAGATCCTTCTCCTCTTCCTCCTTTCAACGTTATCCTGCTCATCGTTTCCGGGCGCCAGGCTAGCAATATAAAGGAACACGAGCACGAGTGGACCGGGACGAGAGAATTCAGACGAGGGCGGATAGGTGGCGCTGCAGTCGCCTGCTGCTTACACTTTTCTCCTTACCCTCTCAGAAAGCGACAGAAGGCAGGAATGCTTTATTTCTTAACGGGGGTCTTCATGTTACTTAAGATTGTCGGTTGGGATGCCGGCAAGGTTTGGTACTTAGGCAAAGATCTAACTTAAAAGTATCACATTGAACAGTGGCATCACGGCCACAAGAAACCGAAAGCACGAAACGAGAACAAGCAATCTTTCCTTACTAGCTTGATCCTTTCCAAAGGTCAACGGGGAGATGATGAGCTGGATGTGCCTCTATAATAGAGGATACCTGCACCATCCACCTCTTGTTACGACAGTATGCAGGTTAAACAGGCCTGATCCCCACGTATGGAAAGGATCCGCAATATTCAATTCTAACATAAGAAATATTCTTTATTGGACGAATAATCGTGGACCTGATACTTGACGCAAAATCGAGGATCTCCTTCATCCAGTACTGAACACTTCTAAATATTTGTTGTCGACTGTCCATCTGATCGCGTAACAGTGAGACTGTGAGAGGTAACTCATACCCTAGGAAAAGTGTGAAGTATTGGAGGGGGCTAAGATAGGCAATATGCATCCGGATATTTCGGTATCTAAGCCACAAGCATACTGCAGATAGCACCATTTGCGATTCGGCGCCAAAATTGGCGACGACCGACAGTGGCATCATATCAAGGGTTAACTGTATTTGCTTGCGTGTTACAACTGATTCAATGTCATTGGCCTATATGAGAGCGCATAGTAGTGGTTCCCAAACTTTTTGATAGAGCGACCCATATATTGTTAAATCAAGACTCTGCGACCCAAAACAAAGGTGGTTGGCCGATATAAAAGAATACAGCTGGAAAAACAGCATAAATAAAAACAGAAGAAATATTTATCTAAACGAAAATAGACCAAAAGCTCACGTCGACCTAGGAGAGGGTCGACGTGATCTATGGGTTGAGAACCGCTGGCATAAAGTGAGGCAAGGAGAGGAATGGGAACATACATCGAACGGAGAGAAGGAGGACGTCGTGGATGGAGAGTCGGAGGCGTGTATTGGTAGCCTGGCAAGTGATTTCCCCGTCGTCGTGCTCGGAGGTGAGGGGAAGGCGGAGGACTTGTCGCGTCTTATTCCCTCCGTGCCTCCCTGGGATCTCTTCCTCTTCCACCACTGCAGCAGTATCACCACCGGAGCCAGCGGATGCGGTAATGGTGGGGATACGGACGCCGTTCTGGAACCAGGTCATGACGGCCGTCGGGTTGCTCTCCTCCGACGTGCATGTCAGCGAAGCCGTCTTTCCCGCTCGCAGCTTCTGATCCGGCTTCATTTCGATTGTCACGTCCGATGGTGGGTCTGCAAGCACACCCAAGGAGAGTCCTCATAGCATTACACGTTTTTCATCTCATCCTATTTTCCCGAACCCGTTTCACACTCTCACTAATCCCTCAATTCCAAATCTCAATTTCTATGGATCTCTGGGGACATATTCATGCGAATATCCAAGATCCCGGACGGAAAAGCGAGGGAACGAGAGAGACACATTACTTTATGGCTGGGCCGTTTTCTCGTTTCCTTCCGCCTTTTCTCTTCTTGCCCCACCAATCGCCTTTTGGGCGTGAATATTCCCTTCTAAACGAGGAGGGATTCCTAATGACATTAGCGGGAGGAAGGCAGGCATCGAACGGGAAGGAAAGGAGAGAACGAAGTTGGGAGGTTTAATATGCAGAATCCACGGAAGATTTCCCCACGGGGAAACGAAGGCTGCCGAGAAGGAAGTGGACTCACAGAAGACGGAGATGAAGAGGGGTTGAGTTCGATTGGGGGTGGGAAGGGCGGGATGGTGGGCCTCACATGCCCACGAAGCTCCATTGTCTTCCTCCGCCAACTGCTTCGTCAATTCCACTGTTGCCACCTCCCCGTTCGTCATGTTCACCACACCCTCTTTGATTTCCTGTTCCAGTGGAGGAAATAAAAAAATTGCACAAGAGAAGAAGACAGAAAGGGGAAGGGTAGCGAGTTGACACTTGGCTCTGGTCTCTTGCCAAAAGGAAAAGGGACTACTAGGCCCACTCAACGAGGAATCCCCCCATTCCCACACGGGAGGGAGTGCATGGTGGGGCATGGAGCCAGGAAAAAAAAAAAGATTTTCCCCCCCTCCTTTCTCCTTTCTTTCTACCCCCTAATGGAACACCCTGGTGAAGACTGGACATCACACCTTCCCTCCGGGATTCCCATGTCGCTTCCTTCCCTCCCGCTGTCTCATCAATCCCCTCCTCCCGCCAAAAATATTCACGGTCTCTCTCTCTCTCTACCTATCTATCTGTCTATATACAGTATTAATATATACAAGGTGGCCAAAAAAGGACACTTTTCAAGACGCATTTCTGGTGTGATGCTTTCAAATATATTTTTTCCCGTTACATATAATGGAAAGAAGAAAGGCTTAGCTACAAAATCGTTTTTTGCAGACTGGAAATATTTTAAAAGACGACTTAGAAAAAAAGTGCTGTACTTCGGTTACGAAAAATCGGCGTTGCGTCCACTAACTCGACCCAACATCCACTCGACAGTCCGACACTCATGAGAAAGGGAAGTGAAACGCTGACCTCAGCAGACGTTGCGAGGATGGATGTGCCTACCGCCGTATTCGGTCAGTAAGCGCAACGCCAACTTTTCTTTACAGAAATGCAAAAATTTTTTCTAAGCCACCCTTTAAGATATTTCAAGTTTGAAAAAAGTATTTTGTAGCTGAGTCTTTCTTCTTTCCATTACATGTAACCGAAAAAAATCATTGAAAGTCATTCCAAAAATGCGCATTGAAAAGAGTGCCCTTTTTTTGGGCCATCCTGTATGTGTGTGTGTAGGGGGAGGGGGGGGGGGGCTTTATTTATAAGGGACTGATTCTTGTTCCTTACTCTCGGTGTCTCTCACCCTTTTCGTTGTTCGATAACTGCACAAAGTATTGGACAGATCGCGTGGAACTTGAACATGGTGCCGGGACCGGTAGCATTGCATGTGGTATGGACACCATGACATCTCCGAGAGGAGATACGAGAAACTCATGTGAGCATGACACATACATTGTCACCAGGGCATACGAAAAACCTACAAGTTCTTCACGGACGAGTCCACGACTATTTCACTCGTTTGATTCGGTTTAACACTTTATGGGAAGTACCTGTTAGTAATGCCGGCACTAGAGGTACGCTACGGGAGATCGCACATCGCAAGTATAGTACATCGTACATTGTGACTGTTCAGTAGTTTTCACTATGGATCGGTGCGTATTTTAGAACCTAAAAACTTTTCAGGGGCTTTAGTGCTAAGTCGGTGTACGGAAAGGCATACTCCTGCATCGAGACGAGTCTATCGGTACCTTATTCGACCGATTTAAGTAGTCTTTGTTAGCTTGGTCTGTATGTACGGTCGCCAGAAGAGGAAGAAGGTCTGCTGTTACATTTTTCCACATCCCCGAAAGTACTGCTCAGCAACGAATGACATTTTTAAAACGTAATCTGTCAAGAGTCTATCTGATATCTTTCTTCGCCAGACCATTTCTTGAAAAGTTCAAAGACAGATACACGTGAAAATGCGAGCAGCATGCCAGCTTCTGCAAAGGGCAGCTGTCTATGGCTGATTTCAAATCGCCAGTCCAGTTGCAGTTCGGGTTCTAGTTTCAATTCAGACTTTTATATGACTGAAATTCCACTGTGCTCTTGTCAACTTCTATCCCAAATAAATCCCAACCAGTACTACGACTGAACTTTTTGACTTGAGTTTTTAAATCAGCCTTTGGCTCTTCCTTCGTCGAAAATGACGAAAAAAGCGGGTGGGCGGGAGCAGCGAATGCAAAATGAGAAACTCAAACCCCAGCCAAACTAAACTCAAGAAAGAGACGAGGAATTCAAGAAGTGGATATCCTACTAAAAACAACAGGTCTCTCGATCTAATATGTTGCACGCGCTAATAGCAGATTGCAAGGCCCGTCCCACACGTCGTGGGGGTCTACGTACTAGAATGAAATGCATTTCCAGTGACTCTTATCTTCCGAGGGTGTCCATGTGAATGACAAATATTGCATCTTCATGCAAATGGAGCAATTTTCAACCAAGGATATGTCATAACACCTACTACTCATGATCCATGATACCACGTGAAGGCATGCCCCCCCTCCTGTCCCGGGGAAGGAACTGGCCCTAAGCGGCTATTTGTTCCACCATCCCAGAGAGAGAAAGGGATACCATTGGACACTCACCTTGTCGTTGCGGAACCACTTGAGAGTGGGGAGGGGGTTGCCACCGATGGAGATGCAGGTGAGACGAAGGAGATTCCCCGCCTCCAGCGGCGCACTCGAGTAGCCCATGATAGACGGCGCGTTCTTCGGCGGATCTGCATTATCGGAAACACACTTCATCAACAAAATCCCTTCTTGCAAATCCGAAGACCTGATGAAATCTTCAGAAATCAAAATACATGGACGATACTCAAAAACTCCTTTAAATCATATGCTGTCAAAAGAGTACCATTTGAATCCCTTGCAATATCGATCATTCTAACCTTTTTAATGAAAATTTTCCATTTAACACCAGAAAAAAAGGTAGGCATATCACTCAAATGTCAAGGCATGGTTCATGAGGATCATATTGGAAGGAATGTTAGTGTTTTCATTGGGGATGCACCGATCCAGAATTAGCTGATATCGATACCAATACTGATCCCAGCGTCATGGTATCGGCCGATACCGATACAGATAGCTCCCAGTGGCTTTCATAAATGAAATCACAACAGGACCAGACCTTAGTAGGCCTTATGCTACCTTCGGCATAGAAGGGAAGAAATAAGAAATCTTCGGACACTAATGACCCATCATTCGAAGTTCCTGTCATTTATTTAGCTTTAGAGACATTTACGTCGGCAATATATTAGCTTCTGGAGTAAAGGCCAAAACTTCCCCTGCCATTCACCAGGCTCGCCGAGAATACGTCGAACGTAAGTACCACGTACAAAGGATGATCGGTGCGAAGAGGAGTAAAGGTGGGAACTACATCTAATGTCCTTAAGGGATTAAGGAGTTGATGCAACTACTGTACAACCGGGATCGGTGCTCGAGGGGAGAGCCGAAGGCGGGATGGACGTGAGCACGAAGTGCACCTTCACAAGCCAGTCAGTGCAGGAAGGCAGGAGATGGGACGGAAGGAGGGAAAGTGAAGGAATGAATGCGTACGCGAATGACACTGGCCCATTCCATTCGTACAATGCCCATCTCAAATCTCTCGCATTTCACTTTAACCATGCTCAAGCTCATTGTCTATCAGTTGGAGATTAAAAAGAACAATGACGGACATAAGGAACCGAATGCCATCACGAGTGTGTGTGTTTTTTTTTCATGAGACGTTCCAAAACTTTACGCGCTGCGCATCAAGTACGGCGTGCGGCAAGGGAGAATCGGATCGGATCGGCCATATAGGCTTCGACCGATACTGATCCTGGCCGATCCACTTGGTATTGGCCGATACCGATACTTTGGTATCGGTATCGGTATGGTAAATTTTTATCTGTGCATCCCTAGTTGTCATATTCCACCGAACTATGCGCGTTCAAGCATCGTGATAACAACGTTATGATACTGCCTGTAGGAATGAAGCCACTGGGTATGAGCGTGACTCTTCTGAAAATTAGTCTCGTTTCCAGCATGGAGGTTGGGATCTGGATCATTCCTATCTCTTAGGATGGACACGGCTACGATCAGATAGAGAGGGAGAGGACATACTCTGTAGAAAGATTGTTAGAAAATGAGGGATGGGGAGGAAAGGAAGGGAAGACACGGCTGCGATAGGGAGATGAAAGATGTCATTCCATGCATCATGATCCCGTCCGAACTGCGTTTTCCCCTGTGCCTGCGTGTGAGACGAAGGGAAAGAAAAACTCACGGATGACTTGGATGATGTGCATCTCAACGACGGTCGTTCCGAGTTCGCTGTTGGTAGCATGGCAAGAGAGGGCGAGGCTCTTCTCCCGTTCCCCGATCGTGACATTGAAGACAGATCGAGTGACCCAGCCACCGTCCTCGTGGCGCTCGTAGTGGGTTGACACCGCCGGGCTGGGACCCCCGACTTGGAGGCCATCTACCATCCAATCCACGGATGCCCTGGGATTGCTCGGTGTCGTCACGCATTCCTCCGTCAACACTTCTCCCACCCGACCCTCATTCCTGCCCGAGATCATTGCCTTCTCCGGACCGACTGAATGAAACGGAAAAAAATCACTCCTAGCTATCGCTACTTATCACCAGTTAAAAATGATTTTCTATATGCGACAAAAAACAGCAGTAACATAATCACCTGCCTAAAGGGAATCTTACAAATCGTCGGACCCCAGTATCCCAATCACATTTTCCATCGCATACATACGAGGCCATTGCACACGAGGGAGGAATCAGTGTCTCCTGTATTAAGTTAGGCTAAAAAGTGAAGGTGTGCTCAAATCTGATCCAATACTCAGGCATGTCTTGAAAATTAACTTGACTGAAATGAAAATTTCCGAGGATTTTGTTTTCATAAACATTAAGAAGTGAAAGAAGCGGATGCTGGGAAAGGGAGGGGATGATAAAAAAAAGGGCATTCGGGGAAAGGAATATCCCTAGCAATCCTCATTGAGTGACAGCCGCAGACACTCATGATATGAGCCCACGAGGCGCCATTTGGGAATGATAGCCAATTTTCTCATGCAGGCCTATTCCTGCCCTGCACGAAGCAACTCGATTGAAGGACTATAGCACGTCAACGACTTCATAATCCCTCCATGATGGGAGATGAGATGAGATGAGATGAGATGGGGGAAGAATGAAATCCAAAAATCAACGGCGGAGTATATGAGGAAGAGGGGAAAGGAATGAGGGAGGGAGGAGGCTATAAATAAAGAGGAGGAACAAATCATTGAAAGAGGGAGAGACAATCTTCCCCGAAAGTCCTTCCTTGGACTCATTTCGTCGACAAGGAAGTTCATATGAGCAGAAAGAGCAGGAAAAATTTCGACGTTTGTCCGCATCATTGCTCTTCTAATCCATGGAGTGGAAAACGGAAGGATCAAAAGAAGGGGAGTTTTTTTTATCGTGCTTCAAAAAAATCCCCCCGCATAACTACTTTTGGTGAGTGCGTCGGATGATGAAAAAGAAACAAGACTTACAGTGAACTGTAAGGTTGCGGCGTTCAATGAGAGGGTGCGGGGTGAGTTTGTTTGAAGCTTCACACCGCAGCGAGGTATGGTGGTCGCTTGGTCGAGTTCGGAACGTGAACACGCTCACACTCTCCGGCGCTCCTTGGTACCTAAATCCATCCGCATGTCATATCCATGTCATCATCAAAACCACTGACAAACCCGATTTCCAAACTTCAAGGAAGCACTCACATGGCGAAATGGGTATAAGGGACGTCCTGCCGGATTCCGTTCTTGTACCATGTGAGTTCCGCGGGTGGATTCCCACCTCTGGACTTGCACTGAAGGGTGACATTCTCGGGGGCCCGAAGAGATTCCCCTTGTCGATACCCAATGATCTCTGGCTGCCCCGGCGGATCTGCAAACACCACAATGTATCAGAGAAAACTGAAATTCTTATTTGCCCATATTCAATCTTCGAACAACAAGTCCAATTTCTCCTCATAATTATCAACAGTTGAGGATAATTTTTGGGTCTACAAACGCCAGAGAAAAGGAACTACTTCACAGATGGTAACGGCTAAACCAACGGACACTATTAAACTTGCCTGGTTCCGGCGCAAGGCAAATCACTACGCAAAATTTAATAGATGCTCACCTCATAGATTTCGATATATCTTTTTTTTTTTAAACATCCATCCATACCAAAGGGTGAAACCATGCTGCCTGCTTTTTCAGACGCAGAAAAAAAAACCCACCACACTCACATGTACAGACCAAAACTTGTCTTTCTTCCTACGCTCAGGTTAATACTTGTTTTTCTCCCTTCACTCAGCCAATCGGGCACGGATGGCAAAGAACTCAGACTACCCCCGGGGTTTTTCCTTTCATCTCCCTAATGATCCACATAACTCTGTCTCGACTTGCTCACCTTCTCCAACCCTGCATGCATTCCCGTCTGAATCTTGCTCCCGATGAGTCACTCGATAAAATCATACTCAGGGAAATTGCGTATTTCCACCGAGAGAAGCCTCATACCATGATCCGGGAAGTTGAGGATGAGAGGGAGGGGAAGACAGAGATCACATTGCATTTCATATAGGGATTCACATATCCCATTTCGCCCGAAGTTTGCTTTCCTTCCACACCGTACCTAAGCCCTAATTTCCTCCTGCCTCCAGTGAACCTCCCAGGCGGAGTAATGAAGAGGGGCACTTTCTAGACGAGCGGTGCATCAATTATAATCGGAGTTTGCGTTCTATTGTTTCAAATTAGAACAAGGATCTGACATTCATAGCGCCCCCCATATATCTTATTTTGGAGGATCGATAATGCGTCGTGATCGAGAAATCATGCCCGTAGGCTCATTTCTCGCTACACTGCTTTCCGGTCATCATTCAACATCGCTTTTTTTTCTGATCGCCCCCATTGAAAGCCAGCAAGAATCCATCAAGACGAGGGCGTTCATGTATTCCGTGAGAGTAAGACCCCCTCAGTGGCTCTGCCCTCCTCTAATATAATCCGTCCCTTTCGTTCCACGTCAATCCCTTCCTCATCGGGATAAGGTATTTCTGAGATAAAAATGATGATCGAACTTACATCCTTTCTTCCAATTCCTCCCCCCTCTATCCTTCGACTATCAGCCCTGAAATTCGTCTCGAATACACAAAAATGGATCTGGGTGGTGGAAATGCCCCTGCTTTCTGAGTGCGTGTTTGGTAAGACGTAGTTTGAGGTAATTGGACCTAGGGTGCAAAGTGTGAAGAACTTATGAGATATCAATTCCTTTATTAAATATAATTTTAGCTGGCTCATTTGAAGGCTGTAATGATCCTGACAACTTTGTGCCCAGTCATCGCTCTTTGCGACCACGGACTCATGTGCCAGTGTAAAAGGAAGCAGCGATCTTCATCACCATGAAAATAGATTGCATCCATCGGATGTAGCAGCTACAATATCCTTCACAAGGTCCTCTTGCCTTGACAAACAGAAATGAACGGGCGCTCTAGATTAGGGCACGTAAAAGCATCGGTTTATTCTGTCAGAATCATATCAGGTTCATGCTCATTAGAAGCGGGGGGGGGGGGCAGCCTTTGTGAATTAGGATTCTGGTATCTTTTCTCCCTAATGGACGGACACCATATTTGCTGGAAGCCATTGAATCGCATGCTTTAGGTCTGCAGGTGATTTTCTGTAAACTGCGGCTACAAAACAGATAATCTAAAATATATAAACCCCACCGAATAAACAAAAATTTGTTCAATAGAAAGTGAGAATTCATAAGAAATTTACACTGAATAAATTACACGTTTAAACTGTTTCAAACTCAGCTTTTAAATAGTAGTACGGTCTTCATTGGTTTTTAACAGGGAGACTTTGGAAGCGAAGGAGCTCGAGGGAAGGGCAAGGAAGAAGGGTAGGTCCTCATGAACCCATTTCCTGTAGAGATGTCCCGAGATGTCCCCAGTTATGGATCTCCGGGAATCAATACCGGAGGAAAGATGGAAGGATGAAGGAAAAGGGGCAAACAAAATCTCTCTTATTTTTTCCTCTCGCTCTCTCTCTCCATCCAATGTCAATATAGTCTAGGGCCTAATTTATCGCCAAACACTCTGGTGGCCCGTGCCCAGTCCACTCTCGTTCCTCCGCCCCTTCCCCCCCCCCCCCCTGCCCCCTTCCACTTCCTTTCTTCATATCTCACATCGTTCAGGAAAATTGCGCGAACATGGCGACACCATGTGTTGAGTACTTTCCATCGCAAAGAGAAAAGGTTCCATATACTGTATACTCCTTTTTCCCTCCTAGTCGACTCAAGAGGGGAACACTGCACGGAGCTGTGTGCAGAAGAATTACAATTTTTTCCATGGAAGACTGAGAAAGCAATAAAGGACTGGGTCTCTATTGTCTCTCCCCGTCTGTCTGCATGGGGACGGATTTTCATAAAAGCGACTCCAGACCTCCTTTTTTTTCTCTTCCTTTTGCACTCCACACGGAAAAGGGAAATCTCGGAATCATATGAAATGAAGGCTCAAGGATGAAGTTCAAAGGGGACAGAGAGCTTCATAAAACAAGTTCCCTTTTCTCTCTGTACCTCGGGTCTCGCACTCACTGTTCCTTTCATTCTTCTAGTAAGAATACTGCTACCTTGCCAAAGCAGATCCCTGCACTAACGAACATCGAGGTATTAGTATGTTTCTAGGCCTTGTGTGAATAACTTTTAAATAAAAATTGTTGCCCTCCCCTGCGACCTGCGACACCCTCCCCCTTTCTCTATGATCTTTTGATCTTTGCTGACTTCCCAGACTCTTTCCCTATTCTCTGGAAATTCGATCATTGCATTCTGAACTCTGATATCTGACATTCACCCGATGTCCAAATTTTTTTCCATGTCTGTTGGGAGATTTACTTGAAAATGAAGTGCGAGGGAGTGAAGGAAGCAATAACTCACAGAGGACAGACAAGATGGCGCTACGAGCGAGGACTCGGTGGAGGAGGGCGTTGTGGATGGCACGGCAGGTGATGTTGGCCTCATTGTCACTGGCTGTGGGTCGGAGAGTCAGCTCACTGATGGTGGTCACTCGGGTCTCCCCTCCCTCACCTTCCCTCGTTTCTTCCCTCACATTCACCGTATCTATCCAGAACATTCAACATCAACTCCTCTTGCATTATAGGGTAAGTGAGACAAATTCCGACCCCCTTAAGAAGTTCTTTCTATCTAAATCCGCCCATCGCCGAATTTTTCAACTCGAGGGCTTTCGGACCTATACCGCATGACAGGAAAATTTACACACTACATATTCATGTTCATGGATCAGACATCAAGACCAGTCATGAAATTTGGAAGAAGAAGAGATGAACCCGGCACATTTTCTTCCAATTCCGACCCCTCAGGTACAAATTCCGACCCCAAAATGTTACTTATTCCGACCCCTACAACCACGTGGCCTATAGGGGGCGTAATTGAATTGCTTGAACCTCACAATCGAACGCCTGATATGGCCAATCATAAATTGATCATCATGTTCCTCCACACATGTCAAGTTTATTTTTATTCTTCTGGACAAATGAAAATAAGCAAAATACACTTGAGAAATTAAAAAAATAAGCATTTGGCAAACGAAACACGTATTATTTCATCATTTAGGAGAACTCAGACTTTCAGGAAGGTCCTTGTCTTGAATATGCTAGGCTAAGACGATTTCGCCATTGTCATTCGTTCAGTTATTCCTTTTCATTCTTCTTTCTCTTGACATGTCTAGCGTTTGAGTTTTCCTTCGTTTCTCCCATCTCCTCTCTCAAGCGCTTCCTACGCGCCATGTCCTCCTTCTTTTGGGCAGCTTTTTCCTTTTTACCATTCATTCTCCGTTGCTTCTCTTCATCTTCTTTTTGTTTCTTCGCTTCCCTGCTTTCGATCAACGTCATCCACCCGATCGAAGTCAGGCCCGAAGGTTGTCGACGAGGATGTTCTAGGGAAACAGGATCTGATTTTTTCTTTGATGGAGATGGCCACGGTAGGAAATGAGTCAACTTCACAGTTCCTGATGGTGCCTCAGATTCCTCATGAAGGGATA